TATATATATATATAATTCATATCTATGTATGTATACATATCAGACTGGTCAGAATCTAGCTCTGGTTCTACAAATAGAGGTTGTTCAAAAAATTATCTATAGCAGGTAAGATATTGATAGTTCATAGAGTCCTACTGTGAAAGATCTGGACAGTCTGTTTAAAATATATTTGTTGTACAAACAAACTGGTGTGACGTTCACAGATTTGTCTGGTTGAAATTGTAGTTTCAAAAGAGAATTTAAAAGTTAGGGACAAACCAATGTTTTTGTTGTTGGATATTACTTACTCCATGTCCAAAGACAACAAATTAAAACTGAGAATAGTCCAAATGTTGTTTTATACATTGCATGTTGTTGTAGCTCTCTCACTGCTGGGCTTTTTAAATAGTCTTTTTTGTTTGCATGCTTTCAATTGATAATGTTCACAGCATGATTATGTCATGACATCACAGACTATAAGACTGAGCCATGACCCCCCCCCCCCCACACACACACACACAAAAAAACTTCCTTATAATAAAAAAAACTGTATATTTAACACCCACACCAGTGTAGGCTTCATCATGTCTATATTTGGATTTGTCACAATCAAACAACAACATGTCATCTTTACGTCATCTTACAATGATGTAAACATTTAATTATGGGAAAAACAAAGCAGGAACATATATAAATCCACTTGTACTACAGTATATATATATTTATACAACTTCCTGCTCCATATGGAGAACCGTTCGAGTAAACACAAGGTAAAATTAGCACAGGTGTCATCCAAAGGTAAAACAAAGGATTTTTTTCCCCTGCTGCTAAGTTGTTTTGAGTCTGAACCCGATGGTAGCTATGGCAACAGAGGGGCAGAAGAAGAGGCAGGGAGTCAGCAGGAGTGTGGAAGCCAGTACAGAAAATGGAAGGAGGGAGACTCTGCCCTCTGTGTGTGAACAGGTTAGTCAATCATGTAAAGATGTTCATTTCTACATTAGGAGCTTCCGCACAGTGAAAGTCATGTTGAATAACCCTAATAGTAATACTGGATTACCCTCTAAAACACATAAGATTCCCCCTAATTTGATTTGATCCAAAAAGAGTGGAGAATGGGGAAGGTCGAAGCAAAGACAGCAAATTCTTTCTTTTTTTTTAATGTATTTGTTTAGATTTTATTTACTGCGTGACTCATCTGCTCAAACACACAAGATCT